GCCGCTTTCTCCTGCTCAAGTTCTTCAATACAGACAGGATCCCCCCCTTCCTCGGACAACACCAGGGCCATCTCGGCCATTTTCACCAGCCCATCCATGCTGGCGGCCAGATGCCTCTTCCGATCCTCCTTGCTCATACTTTTGATAGTCTCAGCCTCGTCGGCAACCACTGACAGAGGGAATCTCTCGAAGAAACCCTCCTCCTTGAAACAAGGGGGAAACCCGAAAGACTTGACAGCGCTGGCGTCCTCGCTGACAGTCAGGCCACTTTCCACCCGGGTCCTCTTCCTTTGTATCAGGACGGCATTAGGATCGACCTCTTCAACCTCTGGGGTCCCGTCCGACGCGGCCCCCGAGCTGGGCGAAGAATCCACTCTCACCGCCTGAGTAGCGCTCGGACTGTGTGGCGGGCCCATCCTCGTCGCCTGGGGAGCCTTCACGACCCTCCTGCCTCGCTTTTGGTCGCAAGACAACTTCAAAAGCCTTTCCCGTCGACCGACCATCGAACCTGCACAAAATAAAAGACGGGTTAGTATCGAGCAAGTTCATAAATAAATGACGAGCAAAGAAATTCAAGCAGTAAACGACCTAGCAGACGAGCAGCCTGCCTGAACGTCTGACACTCCACCAGTGCCTTAGTATCAATCGGCCGAGACTCGAATGTCGGATAACCCTCCGCATCCAAGACATCGTCCCCTTCCCTCGTGGCCCACCGGGCATGGTGGAAGCTGTCGACGAACCGACAAAGTGTAGCGTACGCCTCCTCGTCCTCCGAGCACATGTCCCCGACAGCAGTATGGTAGTATCCAGTCCCGTGCTCGTAGTGCCTGAACATCCAGTGCACAGGGAACTTGGCCGTACGGGCCATCACGGGATTCCCATCGTCGACCAAAACCGCCTCCCCGTCATCATCGCTTATGGGCGCCTCCTCCTCGTACAGGGATCCCAAAGCAGAGGTGGTAACTGGCCGCACAACGTACCACTTGTCTTTAAAACCCCTTACGGAGTCCATATACATTTTGAAGAGTCTCCTCGACTGCTTTAAGGAGACCCAGCTGTGTTTCCCTCCTCGGGACTGGCGCTGCAGATGAAAAATCCTGAAGAAGAGCGGTATGGTCGCCCCAATCCTCAGAAAGCGACACGTCAGCTCAAACGCCCGGATAAAGGCGAGTGAGTTCGGATGTAGCTGAGACGGGGCCAACTCTAGATGGGTGAAGACCCCGATCTGAAAGTCACTAAAGGGCAGCTACAGCCCAAGATCTTTAACCGCGATCTCGTACATCGGGAAGCTGTACTCCGGGTACACCGAGCAGATCCGTGCACGGGAGGTCGGGCGCATGACAACGAAATTCTTCTGGAAGTCTGGCTGGCCCTGGCCCGCTTCGAGGACAGCATACGGATTTCGGTCACGCCGGCTATATATCGACGCGATCCCTCGGGGCTCAGCGCCCACCCAATCCAGCAAAGGGTCATCGACAGTATCGATCAAGCTGACCGACTCATCGGCACTTTGTTCTTCATGTTCGTGGCCCCCAGAGGAGCACGGCTCGTCCGCCATGGTTACCTGCAGAGCACGGGAAACCAGTCAATTGGGCACGAAGCCATACGCTCGACAAACCACCTCGTCCCATGCACGACCACAAAAGTCAGTTTACACGAGTAGTCGCCTACCCGACATCCAGAAAACTCGATGTGTTCTTCTCCAAACCGACTACGCGGCCACTCTCCAACATGTCGACCCAAGGTATGAACATGGCGAGCAACATCATGAGACCTACGGCCAGGACCATGAACATACCGGGCGCGATCATGAATCAGGCGCCCTGGATCATGAAGACCCCGGGCAGCGCTGCTGATTATCACCTAAAACTATGAATATACCGGCCACAAGCATACGTTTGTCGGTCCTAAGCATGAATATGTCGAGCTAAGTATGAGTTTACCGGGCTAGTCCCACGCGCACAGTCCCTAAAACATCTACAAACGCTGAAAATCATGCATTACAACAGGAAAATGAAGAAGATAAACCACTTACTTGAATCAAAAAGTAGGATTCGGCTACGGAGTAAAAGAATCTGTAACAGAAGATCGCGGCTGGGAAAAATCTGGAAGAACAGCAACAGTGGGAGCACAAAGAGTAGAAACGTGTTATGGGGCCCAAGGTTCCTATTTATAGTGATGACGTGGAATACCAAACGTCACCTCGGGCAACCACGGAGTTCCTCTCCCCGACGCGCTGCTCCCAACGCAATGATGACCCTACCATCATAGGGTGGCGGCACAGTTCCCGAAAGGTACCTCGTGTGCTCGACAGACACGCGCCGGTTAGGATCCTCCGGGCATCCACCGCGGAAGATGTCTCTGAGCACGACACGAGGAGGCCCTCGAGGGCCTGCATCTCTATCCCGGGCACGAGACCCCGAAGCAGAAACGACCTGAGTTCAAGCCATGGCTCCTAACAAAGGAACCACGACTTAGGGGGCTCCTGTTCTGGACTGGGCCCGACAGGCCCAAAAGCATTGCTAAGGCCCAATCCAAATAGACTAGCTGAGGACCAAAGGGTCACAGTCGTGCCCGACGTGCTCCCTGAGGTCACGTGCTCGACCTCTAAACCTCCAGCTCGACAGCCTGCTGTCCAGCTCGACATCACCTCGAGCACCCCAACTAGGGCAGACTCAGTCCACTGCACTCCCAACGAGGCCCCGAAAAGACCGCGTCTCCGTCCGCCCGCACTTCACGCAGAACATCCAGGAAGGGGACCACGTGCGGGTCCCCACTACGCACGTAGAACCTGGCAGTTCCTCCATTGGGCCAAACCTGCCCGGCCCAATGAAGGAACCTTGGCCCGGCGCTGGGGGCTATAAATACCCTCTATTTCCAGAGGGTCAGGTATTCATCATTCTAACCATACACTTGCTATTACCTGCTCGTACTTCTACTTACTTCAGCATCGGAGTGCCTTGCAGGTACCCCCCCCCCCCCCCACTTCGTTCAAAAAGCTTTCTGCTCGGAGCCAACCGTGACGGTCCATTTCTGATCAGGTCATATCAGTATATAATGTTTTTTATTTTATCATGAATTTAATTGGAATGCTTCAACCGTATAAAAAACTTTATACTCATTTAATCGTGACTATTAACTTTTTATTAATATTTGACTTTCATTTTTATAATCTTTAATATAATAACTTTGAATGGTTGTAATACATTAACTCTCTCACACACTAACAATATATAATAATTAATCTTATAATCTAATTTATTATGATATTTATTATTCATTTTTATTAAGATTAAAAATGAATCGAGTCGAATTCGCTTCAACTCAGTTCGATGCGTTAAGAATTAGCAGAGTTCAAATTCATCACGATTTTTTTTTCAATTTAAATTCGACTTGTTAAAAATTAGTCGAGTTCGAATTTATCATAAAATTTTTAAAGTATATATATATATATATATATATATATATATATATATATATATATATATATATATATATATATATATATATATATATATATATATATATATATATATATATATATATATATATATATATATATATATATATATATATATATATATATATATATATATATATATATATATATATATTTGACATTTTAAATTAATATTTTTTAAAATTTATATTAATAGTTAATTTTGATAAATAACATGACAATTAAAACAATCTTATTTATCCTTATATTTACAAGAATTATAGATAATATTTCTATATTTATAAATTTCATCTCAAAATAATATTTATAATTCAAGATATTATCATCAAAAGTAGATAATATGAGTAAATAATGAAATGTTATAACTTAAGTTTGTAACATATATTTTACTATGTTGAATTTGATTTTTTTTTAATCAATAGAATTGTAAATTATTTTATCATCAATATAAATAAATATGAAAACTAAATATTGATGTATTCATGAAATTTATATATCAAGTTATTTCATGAACCAAATAAATCGAACTATACATAGTTTAAATTCAACTTATTTATTTTATAAACTTAATTTTGAACTCAAATTTGACTCATTTGATTCATGAACTAAATCCAACAAATTAATTATCGAATCAAATCTTAAATTATTTTCGAATTAATTCGATTCATTATCGACCTAATTTTTATTCATGCTCATTTTATAAAATAACTTATACCAGTACTAGGTATGACAACGGGCCGGGTCGGGGACGGTTTTTACCTCCCCAAACCCAAACCCGAATCCCCAAACAATCCTCGTTCCCCGCCCCAAACCCAAACGAGGATGGAGAATTAAAACCCAAACCCGTCCCAACGGGTTCAGATATTCCCGCCCCGCCATAATTCATTTAGTAAAATCAATTTTTTTAATAGAATTATTTATTTTTTCCAAAATCAAATTACATTATAAAGTAATAAGTTAAAACAATCTCAAAAAATTTCATACATACATTTCAAATATTTCAAATGATAAATATAAATCAAATTATCAAAACATTACCCACATATTTAATATTCTAAATTATAAAAAAACAAATATTAATGTACCTAATGAAATAAACTGACGAGTTCAGGGACGGGTTCGGGGTGGGTACTAGTGTTCTCATTACCTAATCCGTCCCCATATTTTATAATCGGAGAAAACCCAAACTCAAACCCAAACTCAATCAAATCAGGTTTTCTCCATTTTCCCGTCAACTTCGAAACGGATTCAGATGGGTACCCACGTATATGGATTTTGTTGCCATGCCTAAGTAGTACTTTGTTTTGTTTAATAGGAACAGAAACCAAAACATTTCTCCATATTCCAAGGAACCTTCACAATCATTAAACAAATTGGGCACACCATCTTTGACCACCATTTTTTATGCTTGATGCCATTCACACACACGCAAACACAAAAACAGACACTTTTGCAACCTCATTTAGAACTAAAACCTACTCTTTATTCCTTTCCCTTCTCTTATCTTACACACACTCTTCATTTTTTTCATCACTACAAAATGAAAAACGATTCCCTCTTATTCATCCTCCTCCTCCTCTCCGCCGCAAAAGCCCAAGCCCAACCCCGAAACCAAACCAACGACTTAACAGACCCAAATTTCAACCAATTCAACCCCTCCTTCGCCATAATCATAGTCATCTTAGTCGCCGCTCTTTTCCTCATGGGCTTTTTCTCCATCTACATCCGCCGTTGCTCCGATTCATCTCCCTCCAACACCGGCCTCCCTATCATCAACGGCCGCTTAGGTATCACATCTCGCGGACTCGATTCCTCAGTAATTGAAACCTTCCCGGTTCTTCAATACTCCGAAGTCAAGATCCATAAGATCGGAAAAGAGGTGCTGGAGTGCGCCGTTTGTTTATCCGAATTCGAAGACACCGAAACGCTGCGTTTGATTCCTAAGTGTGACCACGTTTTTCACACTGACTGTATCGACGAGTGGCTATCTTTGCACACAACATGTCCCGTTTGTCGTGCGAATCTCGTTCCAGAACCCGCTGACTCAGTTCACGCTAATCCTAATCCCAATCCAGAGTCGCAACAACAAGATATTGAAGCTCAAAACGACACGGCTCAAACACCAAACGCGGAGCCTGATTCGGTTTTGGTTTCTCCGGAAGTGATTTCGTTGGAGAAAACGCTGAAAAGGAATCGAACGCGTGGATCTCAGTCAAACCGGGCGCGTCGGTTTCCGAAGTCGCACTCGACCGGACACTCTTTAATCCAACCGGGTGAGAATACGGACCGGTTCACTTTGAAGCTGCCTTTTGCGGTGAGGAAAGAGTTAATGAACCGGCAGTTACAACGCACGAGTAGTTTGATTGTGTTACCAAGAGAAAGTAGCTCGAGGCATGGGTATCGAACCGGTGAAGGAAGTAGTAAAGGGAAAAGTTCGAGGTGGGTGGACCGGAGTTTAAAATCGGACCGGTGGGTTTTTACCAGGGCACCGTCGTTTTTGGCTAGGGCGTTGTCGTTTAGGTCACCAAGACCAAAGGTTAATAATAGTGACGACGATGAAGGAACTTCTTCTGCTACTGCTCCTATCATGCCGTCATCTGCCGTTGACTCTGCACGCCGTTAAATCTTGAAGAAACCGGCTGCCTTTAATTTAAACCGTCCAATACTGCCGTTAATTTACGTCGTTAAATCTTTAAGTTACGGCGAATATGTGCATTGGAGTTGGACTATTAGCCACAGAGAGATACAGGTCTGAAATTTGACTGTTCTTTGAATTTTGGGTTTTTCTTTTCTCATCTAAATCTAACTGTTTCTATAGCAGTACTACATTATATTTTTTTTTAATTTTTTTTTTCATTTGCTTAATTTGTACAGTTTTTATTATTATTAATAAGTTAGTACGGTACAAATATTTTTCTCTTGGCCAATTTCTGACGAAGTAGGTTATGAATGAGGAATCGATGATGTTGTAATAAGTTGAAGTTATTGAATTCAGTTTAGATTTGGGAAAAAGAAAATAGACACGGGATTGATTTATTTTAATCCTATTTATGAGTTGAATTAATAGTCATATGTTTGAATTGGTACTTTGGACATAGTCAATCAATTTTATCTCGAGCTTTCTTACTGATCAATTTCCACTATTATAAAAAATTGATATAATGAAAAGTTGACCACTAAGAGAGCTACTAATTTAATAAATGTTCCTTCTTCCTTTTCAAAATAAATATTACAAAATACTTGTCATTTTATATCATCGATATAATTTTATTTTTAATTTTTCAATTATATCTTCTAATAAATATTTTTAATTTTTTGTTTTTTCACATAATATTAATGTTAATTTAAATATATCAATTGTTAATTCAAGTAATTTAGTAAAATGACTATTCTCTCTCTTTATTTATTATTATTTTTTAATCGGTACGAAATGATTAATTGTGACAAATAATATAACACCATAGAGTAATACTCGGTTGAATTTTTTTTATTATACGTGTTAATTTAAAAGAAAAAGATTACATTAAAATTACATATGTTTTACAAAATATTATTAAGAAATTTTGAATTTTAATTAAAGTGTTAAAATTGTATGTCTTTTGCCTTTTAAGAGTAATTTTAAATAGAAATTTTTTCCAAGAGTTTTCTAAGCTGGAGTACTCTTTTTCAAAAGCAAATATCATTGGAGTTGTCCATGTTTGACAACCAAGGTAGTTTCGATGAAAAGTAATAATAAAATAATCTTTTTTAATAATAGATTGTTATATATGACTTAAAATTGTGGAGTTTAAAATAAGTTTTTTGAAATTATATTATTAGAGTAAAAATTAGAATAACCGTTTTAAAATGACGTGGTTTAATAGATCTCATAAAAAATTTAAAAATAAATAGCATAATTAAGATATTCTAAGTTCACTAGTTACTCTCTATAATATATATATTTTTATTTTATTTTCTAGATTTCCTGTTCAAATTATATGTTTAGGAGAAAAATTATTATAGGAGAGAATTAAAAAAAATATTACATAGAAATAAAGTGAAATTCATCTGCATTACATGAATATCGTTAATTCTAAATTATTCAATCTCCTTTTTATATAACATTATAGTTATGTTTGAATATTGTAAAATTGGTGGTAGAGATAGTTGGTTAAAATCAAGGGAAATGAATAGAAGGAAATGAAGCAAAATAAGAGATTTTTTTTTTAAATAGTCACTTTTTTTAAAAAAATTTCTCAAATAATCACTTCAAAATTTTTATCGAAATAACTACTTTTCAAATAAATTTTTTTTGCCACACAGAGGAGTAGTCATTCTGTGTGGCGCATGCACTCAATTTAAAGAGGAGGCACCACACTGCATGGCTTGTCCTCCTCTGTAAAGTCATGCAGTGTGGCGCATGCATGTGTTTTTGAGAGGAGGCGCCACCCTCCTTGGCTTGACAGTGTAATTGCAATTTTCTATAAATACAACCATCCATCCTCTTCATTTTTCCACACTATTTGTTACATAACTCTTAGAAAATGTCTTCAATTCCCTTGCCAATGTTTTCACTGATCAAAAGAGATGCGCATGTTATTTTTTCGGCGACAAAGCCTCCGGTGAAGATCAAACTCTGGAACACACAGGCGTTCAAACATTTTCAGAGGCACCTAATTCGCTGGTTGGAAGGAGACATTCCTGAAGGTGAACAAATCAGAAAAATAGAAAGGCACATCAGTGAGGAACAAAAATGGAGTAAGCCGATCATGGAAAAATGTGAGATGCGACGCTGATGTCATGATGATGATGCTTGGACCAGAGGATATTGTGTTGATGGTCTTTATCTCTTAGATATTATGATTTGTTTAGTTGTTTTGTCTGTTTATCATGTTGTCGTATTGTTGTCATGAGTATTTGGTGTTGTAATTTTTTGTATCATGATGTGAAAGTTGTTGTAATCGAATGATAAATTGAACACGAAATGGTAACTCGAATTTAAATTGAAATATATTGCGTACAATAAATTAAATACTCCGTATAGTTTGCTATAAAAAAGTTATGTTGCAGAGCTAGACCCAATATTCAGACAATTTTTCCGATTGTGTCCAGGAAGACAATATGTACCGCATAATCTTATCATTTTGTTGGTCGTATCCATTTCAGTTCTAATATGAGTGCTTTTCGGACACCCCTTTTTCTTCCGTCGCATTTGTTCATTGTGCCAAACAATGTCCCCTTCATAAGCAGGCCAGTAATCCTCCTTTGCCAACACGGAGAAGGTATTGATGTACACACTTAAAACGCTCTTTACCGTGTACACGGGGGATATATGTTGTATTGGGTCCAAGCGAACGTGCGAACATGTTGCTATGACATGAGAGCAAGGCACGCGAAATGCTTGAAACTTTCCGCAATCACACCAACCTCTATCTAGTTCGACTCGATAATATCCCCTTGGCCTCCCCTCGTTATGATCCAGTGTCTCTTGTACCTTGAACCAACCTTTAATACGGTCAAACACGATGACACTATGGGTGTTTGCTTTTGCAGCCTCCTCATTAAATGTTTTCATCGTGCATTCACTGAACAAATGCCTTGATTGTAACACTGCCCTCCATTTTGAACTTCTTGTGTCAAACAATGATCCCATTCCGAAATATGTTGCTCTAACCAAAGCGGTAATTGGTAGATTTCAGATGCCTTTGAATACAGAGTTCAATGATTCCACCAGATTTGTTGTCATGTGGCCCCATCGTTGACCATTGTCAAATGCCCGAGTCCACTTCTCCATTGGAATGTTATCGATCCACCTAAATGCTTCTGAGTTTGCCAACCGGATTTCTTCGCGATAGTATCAGAATGACGGTTCTGTTAAGGCATACCCCGCATTAATAACTTTCTTTCGAAGTGTCTTATCTTTGATATGGAGCATGAAGTTTTGTGTGATATGTCTAATGCAATAGACATGTGTCGAAGGGGGATCCTGCCAACCGTTATCAGGGTTATTGTATGCACTCACAATTGATGGATGTCTGTCAGAAATCAAACAAAGGTTGGGTTGTGGAGCAACGTGTAATCGGAGATTCTTCAGAAAGAAATTACATGCACCACCTATCTCACCTTCAACTAGAGCGAAGGAAATCGGAAAAACATTATTGTTCCCATCTTGTGCCACTGCCATGAGTAATGTTCCTTTATACTTCCCATATAACCAAGTTCCATCAATCTGTATAATAGGTTTGCAAAATGCAAAACCCCTGATGCATGGTTCAAACGCCCAAAACAATCGATGAAATATTCCATTCCCACTAACACGAGTTCTGTCTGGGGTAAAAGCCGGAAGTGTCTCCAAAATTATAACAGTTCCCGGAGCATAATATTTGAGTGCCACCAAAAATCTTGGAAGTTCTTTGTACGATTCCTCCCAATTATCGTACACAAGTTCATCTGCCTTAGTCCTCCCGATCCATGCCTTCCTGTAAGAGGGAGTATAATTGAATCTCGTAGTGATATGAGAAATAATTGTACTCACCTTTAATGATGGATCTTTTCTAATAAGAGGCAAGATTTCTTGACATATTAGTTGAGAACTAAGTGTCCGATGATCCTGTGTCGGAACGGTGGTGATGCAAGTGTGGAGTGGATCAATGGAACCTATTTCCCATGAATCACTCCTCTTGCTGTAAGATGCAGTTAACCGAAAAGGGAAAATTGGTTTTTGACGACATAAAATAACGTACCTCCCTGAACTATTTTCATCTACAGTGAAGTCAGCTAAAATTTCCATGTGGTATTTTTTTATACCTCTAAGACACTCTTCTTTTGTTCGAAATTTGTCTCCAACTTTCAAGGCCCCTTCAGTCTGCATATAAGGATCGTGAAAGATATCTGAGGCTGGTTCATCTTCCCCCAAGTTCAAGTTCGTCATATGAAATAGAGGGTCGTACGCATGACTTGCAGGTATAGGTTCATGCTCTTGATCTGCAGCGTCATCATTGACCATAAAATCAATCATTGCCTCATCATCTTCTTCTTCTTGGTTAATAACATCGACTTCAGGATGGTTGTCCTCGTCAGATTCATCCTCTTCTTCAAAGTCTTGAGAATGATCTACCACCTGAGATTGATCTGGTTGTTGTAATAAAACATACAACTCAATCTCATCGAACCCAGATTGTTCATGAGTTCGAAACATGTTTCGAACATCATCATCGTCGTGCACCTTAAGTTGATAAAATTTGACTTGGTTGTTGTCAAATAAAAATGGGGACTTGTAAAGGATTTGGTAAACTGGACCACACTGCAATTTGGATTCTACTCTATCTTTGAAGCGTGCAAAACTTGATTTCTTGTTTATCCGAAAGCGGATAAAATCGGTATTATGGAAATTAAAACCTAAGTTGTCGCAGTTGAACGTCTCACCGTTAATATGGGCAACAATAGTATAATTTTGTGAATGATCCATGTTGTTGAGGTATGTTTTTTGTGAGTTATGGATGTATATTAGTAATGCAACCTACACATACGATTAAATAGACTGATATTCTGCATGCATGTGCCACCCTAGGTGGCTAATCCTCCTATTTTCTCATGCATGCGCCACCCTAGGTGGCTTATCCTTCTCTTTATGTATGCATGCAC